GGTCAGCTGAGGCCAACAACTCACTCCGCTTGAGAATCCGGCCGGACCACACGTGGCTGATCCTCCCAGATACGAACAGACTTCAGCGATTCCATCTCAGTGCTCTGACACGGCAGTGAAAACAGGGAGTCACGTGACCCGGGGGGGAGGGGGGGGCGGTGTTTCAGACTGTGGGGGCAGCAGAATAGAATAAGCGATCTCCTAACGAGCACACATTCGCACCTCCGAGTAGCACGGTTGGCTACGTACGGTGTGAAAGAAGTTGAACATGCATACGTACACATCAATACGTGGTCACGGGCTGGGGAAGGGAGGGGTGGAGGATGGGGGGGGGGGTCGAAAGGGGGGGGTATTGATGGCTCTTGGCTCTTTAGTTGCTGGTAAGGGAAATGTTACAGTCAAGCTATCAGCCATCAATCTGGGCAGCGAAATGCCACACAACTCGCAGCCCCGGTAGAAACCGATGGCCGAGCATCTGCATAATGACGTGCAGGCGGAAAAGGTTGAGAGGCAAAAGGCGCATAATAATAATCGTAATAAATAAATAATAGGGAACGCATTAAAGTCGGTCGCGCTTTGTAAGGGCGGCAGAAATTAAACGCGTCGGCATTCGTGCTGCCCCCCCCCTGCCCAACTCCCACCCTGCACCAGCCCCCCCGCTCTCCCCGTGCCACCCACCGTGTCACACACCGGGCCACCCACTGTGCCACACGCACCGTGCCATACACCGTGTCACACGCACCGTGCCACACACACCGTGTCACACACACCGTGCCACACACACCATGCCACACACCGTGCCACACACAACGTGTCACACACACCGTGCCACACACCGTGCCACACACTGTGTCACACACCGTGTCACACACACCGTGTCACACACCGTGTCACACACCGTGCCACACACCGTGTCACACACACCGTGCCATACACCGTGTCACACACCGTGTCACACACCGTGTCCCACACACCGTGCCACACACACCGTGCCATACACCGTGTCACACACCGTGTCACACACACTGTGCCACACACACCGTGCCACACACACCATGGCCACACACCGTGCCACACACAACCGTGCCCACACACCGTGCCACACACACCGTGCCATACCACCGTGTCACACACCGTGTAACACACACCGTGCCACACACACCGTGCCATACACCGTGTCACACGCACGTGCACACACACCGTGCCACACACCGTGTCACACACACCGTGCCATACACCGTGTCACACACCGTGTCACACACCGTGTCCCACACACCGTGCCACACCACACCGTGCCATACACCGTGTCACACACCGTGTAACACACACCGTGTCACACACACCGTGTCACACACCGTGTCCCACACACCGTGCCACACACACCGTGCCATACACCGTGTCACACGCACCGTGCCACACACACCGTGCCACACACACCGTGTCACACACACCGTGCGCACACACCGTGTTACGCACACACCGTGTCAAGCACACACCGTGCCACACACACCGTGCCACACACACCGTGTCCCACACACCGTGCCACACACCCGTGCCACACACCGTGTCACAACACACCGTGCCACACACCCGTGCCACACACCGTGTCACACACCGTGTCACACACCGTGCCACACACACCGTGTCACACACACCATACCACCCACCGTGCCACCCACCGTGCCACACACACCGTGACACACACACCGTGCCACCCACCGTGTCACACACACCGTGTCACACACACCGAGTCACACACACCGTGCCACACACCGTGCCACACACACCGCGCGACACACACCATACCACCCACCGTGCCACCCACCGTGTCACACCCACCGTGCCACACACCGTGTCACACACACCGTGCCACACACACCGTGTCACACACCGTGTCACACACACCATACCACCCACCATACCACCCACCGTATCACACCCACCGTGCCACCCACCGTGCCACACACACCGTGACACCCACTGAACGCCGCCGGACTCCCGCGGCGATGCCGATGGGAGTTGCTGCCACTCTGACATCGAGGGTAGAGTTATTTATTCCGGTGATGTACGGTGCCCCGATCCCGCGCGTGTTGCATTTGCAGAGAGAAAACCTCGGGAAATTGTTCGACTAATTTACGAACATTGAAAGTATGTTGTTGTTGTTGTTGTTCGGAAAAATGGAAGGGAACCGACGACAAATGACGACATGTGTAGTGGATACCCACGGGCTATCTGCTCATGAATCATGTTGATGAATTTACAATGCAACGTGAGTTTACATTTGAAATAAAAAAGACAACATTATTTGTCTACGGTCGCACTGATTGATCTGATCGATGTATTAGTTAATTATATATGCATGTACGTTGAACTTCTTTTACATCATACCTTGCCAACTGTGCTCATCGGAGGTGCGGGGGAAGGACAACACAACTGAACACGAAAAGCAGTTCTACAGAAATGCGTTTCGATTTAGATTTAAAAGTGCATAGCTCCAGTAGCTTCCTGATAAATTAGAGTATTTCACACCGGATAATCCCTTGAGATGGAATGTCTCGTTCGCAAGACTGTCCAAAGCTGTCAGTTGACTCACATGTAGCAAAACACGTACTAATGAATTTGACAAAGAACTGTGAATAACTATTATTATTATTTTCATCATCATAGATTTGAAATGTAAAAAAAAGGTGTAGCACATAACACAACAGCGCTTCCCTTCCGCCGTTCTACGGCGTTTTTTGCAGCCATCGCACGGTGCAATTTGACGAATTTTCCGACTGGAAGTTGCCGCGTAACTAAATCTGACGGCTTGAGTACGTTGAGGGTTTGGTGGAGAGCGTGGATGGTGTGAAACTCCCCGGTGCTGCGGGATGCCAAGGAAGCGCCGTACCCTGGCTTGCCGAGGGGCAGGGCAGCAACTAACGTCATCTGTCCCTTCTGTACGGGGATCGAGCGTTGCCCCCTCGCACGCGCTCCGTTTTTCTACGGGCGCTCCGGTTTACTCCCCCACATGTACAAGCGCTTGGATGAAAACTTATTAATATATACAGAGGACTGCAGAGCTTGGGTCACTGTTGGTGCCGACTCACTGCCTGCTTGGATGCCCTCCAGCTGGTCTGTTGATCCTCAGCCCATCACGAGATCCGATTTGCATGAACGACGCTCTATGAAACTAAACAATTATTTTTCTACGTGACTTTACCGAAAGAACCGAAGAGTATGGATTCCTGCAGTCACGAAAGCTTCAAATCGAGATTAGACAATGATTCTCGTGGTTGGTGCATCCTCCATAGGGGCCGTCCATAAATGACGTCACGCGATTTTGGACGATTTATGACCCCCCCCCCCCCCCCATCGTCACACGGCGTCACAAAAAGTCAGACCCCCCCTTCAAATATGACGTCACAAAGCTCTGCCCCCCCCCCAAAAAAAATAAAACATGCTTCAAATCTCTTTAAACTATTGTCATTGTTACGCGTATTTAATGTGCCGTTGCACTCTGATGTTGTAGGAGAAAATATTTATAAAAAAAGTCAATTTAATTAAGTAGAACGTGCTATCTATTTATTGAAAGTTGCGCATTTCGATGCGACGTCAAATTTCTCAACCCCATCCCCCCACTCGTCCCCTCATAGGTACGTGACGTCATTTATGGACGGCCCCGTAGCGAATCATAGGCCAGGGTCTAGAGTACTCACATGCCCCATTCTTTGAGCCACATTGATTCACATGCCACTAGCGTACGGGCCCCTACTCACGACTGACCACAGCTCACTGTGCTCGCTGACCAGACGACAGGGCTGTAGTGAACGTGAACCGTTCTTCCACATGGGGGGTAAAGAACACATTACAATAATGGCATCATAACGCGGTTCGTGAATAACGTGTCAATCCACTTTGCCACACCGCGTCCGATACGGGGGTTGTTTGGACATATTTCACCAGGATTGGTCAGCGCGGTTTGGTGAAGAGGATGGATATCACTCACCACGTATGTTAACCGTGGCCAGGAATGGAACTCAGGTGGCCAGATTCATCGGCCATCGTGCTAACCACTGCCCCATCGCTGCCCCCTGATCTCTAGTAGAGAAGGCCGTGGGATGCCACTGGGTGGTGGTGGTAGTGGTGGCTCACATCGGTTATCTAGCATTTAGTACCGTCAAACTCCCTGGCTGCTGGCTGGGCCTGTAAGAGGGAGGAGAGTGAGTAAGCTGCTGACCGATCTGTGTAGTGGAATGTTGGGCACCCCCCCCCACCACCAATACGTGTAAGTTTTCTCCAGGCCACTCCGATTTCAAACCACTACAACGGTGCTACTGCTAACTTGGGTCACCACTCAATTTTGGCACCACGATGGCTAGGAGATGCTAACTACCTCGCGTGGTATACAGGAGGTCGGTGGGTTCGATCTCGACCCTGACGCCTGCTGTATATTTGGAGTTTGCGGTGTCTCTTTCTTCGTGATCGCGTGAATTTTTCTCCGGTTGTTGAGGTTTTTGCCTCCACATTTAGAATTAACATCACGCATTTAGAGTATTTTGCTGCTGTAGATTTCAACACGCTGAGCCACTTCGTTGAGCTGTCATTTGTGGCCAGGTCGCTTCTGCAAAAGAGCTACATCGCTCAGTGGGACTTACCTGGTAAAATAACAATAATAGTTTAGTTTTAAATTAGTTTAGTTTAATAGAGGAAAGTGGAAACAAATGACGAAATGTGCAGTGGGCAACCTATCTGCCCAAGCATCGTGATGATGATGATGACGAGCAGATGAAGGCTGACGATGAAGCCGCCGATGAAGCTGACGACGATGTTCCCCCCGCTTCTAATAATAATAAAACAAATGTGTAATGCGCATTCGATCCCAGGATCCCGATGCACAATGCATGAAAAGCAGAAAAAACTAAAACAGACCCGGGGCAACCGACCAATCCAAAGAGGGAAGGTCACTTTAAAGAGATGGGGTTTCCAAAGCAGACACGAATCTATCAACCGATTCTCACCACGCTGAGGCCGAGCAGCTCCCGGTGGACGTAGTCGAGGCCCCGGGCCTGCAGAGCGTCGAGGTAGCGCTGCAGCTGCGAGTAGGTGTACGGGAAGCAGTAGGCGAACTGATAGTCGTCCTCCTCGCGGTCGAAGCAGAAGGCGAACGACACGACGTAGCGCCCGCGGTGCTCGGGGCTGCGGTAGTAGAACACGTGCTTGCCGGGCAGCCTCGTCCTGTGACGCACGCACACAAAGACAAAGATCCCCCGTATAGTCTAGACAGAGTGTTCAGGGAAAGTGTTGTTAGCGAGCGCCTATGAAGGCCGGCACGGCGCACGAGGCGGTGGTTGGCCAACACCACGCCCGGCCGCCTTTGTCTCCCCCGGTGGCGATGTTTGCACACCGCATCGGGTACTCATTTGAGGCGGAGTCAACCTAGGGGAGGCCCAGGACCGGTTCAAATAATAATCGTCACTGATGATGGCCGTGAACGGGAATCAAACTCGGGTCACTGGCTTTATAGCCCCGCGCTTTAACCACTACATTGCAACTCGATTAGCACGGTTGGCTTACGCACGGTGCGAAAAAAGTTCAACACATATACATACTACCGTTGAATACACACACAAGGCGAACATCCATTCGCATGCACACACCACAAGCAGGGCGGGGTGAAGACGTTGTAGGCCCCTGGGCGACAGGTACTGTGAGCCCCCCAGTAATATTTTCAAAAGGAAAACAAATCTCGATTTGAAGTTTTCGTGACTGCAGGGATCCATAATACTCTTTGTTTCTTTCGGTAAAGTCACGTAGGTATAATTTTTATTATATTTTATACCTACGTGACTTTACCGAAAGAACCAAAGAGTAAGGAAAACAAAGTTAGGTAAAAATAAAATTGTATTTTAACAAGGCTAACAACAAATACAATTCGGCATTCACGAACGAAATAACGTTTCACTTCTTCTTGGTTCTTTCGGTAAATTCACGTAGAATGGAAATAATAAAATAATAAAAATAAAACATAATAAAATAATTCTCACGACGTTTCGGCCACAACGCAAGCAGCCGTCCTCATGTGAAGAACAGGTCTGTCGAGAAGACAGAGTCTGAATGACACACTCCAGGCTTGGAGCGACTATTTAAGCTGGGATGGAGGGGGGAAGGGCGCCTTGACAAAATAATTTGCAGACCTGTTCTTCACCTGAGGACGGCTGCTTGCGTTGTGGCCGAAACGTCGTGAAAATTATTTTATTATGTTTTATTTTTATTATTTTATTATTTTCATTCTATGTGACTTTACCGTAAGAACCAAGAAGATGAATCCCTGCAGTCACGAAAGCTTTAAAACGTTTCACTTCATCTCTGGAGGCTCTCCAGCTGGCGGAGGCCCCTGGGCTGCAGCCCCTAAAGCGCCGTGCCTTGATCCGGCCCTGACCACAATAGCAAACACCTCCAAGCCTTCTAAGTCGTCGAGGTCATTTCCGTCGGCGAGCATCTAGTAAGAGCCCAGGGGAAGGCCCAGGACCGGTTCAAATAAACATCGTCATTGGTGTTGGCCGTGAGCGGGAATCGAACTGGGGTGGCCGGGGTTCGTGGCGCAGCGCGCTAACCGCTGCACACGCGCGCGAGAGAGGGAGGAGTGGGGGGGGGATGGAACGAACGATGATGGAGTCGATCACGCCGAGGTTGGAGTCTTCTTGTACCTACGTCCCCCTGTCTGCGCCGCCCCATGGAACCAAGGCACCCAAAAGATCGGGGGGGAGGGGCGGGGGGGGCAATCACGGACGCGCGGGCCATCGTGCGAAAGATAAAGGCGCGGCCCTGCAATCGCCTTCTCGCGCCCACTGCTCGCGGAAGGGAACTAAACCGGAGGGGGGGGGGGTGGATTTAGAGGGCCCCTTCTGCAGAGGGATTTGGCCTCTTCTTCCAATGTTGGCTCGACGTCTTAGAAGGGATGTGAATAACCCACACTTTACAACTAACGGGGCAGGGTGAAGGAGGGCAGGTGGCCGAGACGGGCACTGGGGTGACACCCAAGGGTTGCGCATCCAAGGGGAAGACCTCAGGACAGACTGCGGCATTCACGGAAACTGTCACGGCGGGTCCAGAAGGATATCGTGACTTGAACAAAGGGGAAGAGCTGAAGACAGAATGGTGGTGAGGAAAGGGCTGCAAGGACAGAGCTTGGCGGTCAGGAGTCGATCGTGTTCAAGTCGTGGGCTGGGATCCGGCAGAAGGAAGGAAGCGACGGCGAGCCGTGGTGGCGTCAACGGCTTTAACTGCGAAAACCTCTTGGCCTGCTTGTTCTGGCTTCATCGTTCATCCCTTAGAGCAGGGGTCCCCAACCCCCGGGCCATGGACCGGTACCGGCCCGTGGCCTGTTAGGAACCGGGTCGCACAGCAGCAGGAGGTGAGAGCGTTGAGTCCGCGCGTGGCCCGCCCCCATTGTTTTATTATTCACCACTTCCATCCGCGCCTCTTTCCCGCACTGCGCACTGGTCTGTCACAGTGTTGGTAAGCCCACAAGCTCAAACCCCTAGTAGCCAAAATGAGTAAAAATACTAACGTCGCTGGAGAGTTTCTTTGAAAAGGGGGCGAGACCCAATGATGAACCCCCGCCCCCACCACCGGTCCGTGCAAAAATTGTCTTCCACGAAACCGTTGCCTGGCGCCAAAAAAGTTGGGGACCGCTGCACTTAGAGCCCTGTGTCATCAACCCACCGCTGGTTCACACACAGGGGTTGCCTGCCCGTACTTCAACCGCGCTGATCATCGCAGGTTGGCGAGGTGGAGCTGGACGCAGCACTGACGCAGACGCAACTCGCCACTGTTGTCAGCCGTGGCTTGGATTCAAACTCGGGTGGCCGTGTGCGTATCGCGGTGTGCTTAATCGCTGCACCACTGCTCCTGAGACTTGCTTGGAAACCCACGAAGTTAAGCGACTCACAGACCTACACATCGGTATGTTTACAGAAGCTCGAGTCTCCTGTATGCCACGCGACTTGTGTGTGATGCCACCCCCACTCTGAATCCTTCCCTCTCCCCGCCCCCTTTGAAAACAGACGCTGCTCCAAGCAACTCCCGCTCGCTCCGTCTTTCTCTCTTCTCCCTGTCTTCCCTCCCCACTCATCATCACCCTTTCATCCACGACATCTTGACCGGATCACTCCCTCTACTGCTCCCATCCCCGCTCGGCACTCCGTCTTCCTTCCCGCTTGCCCGTCTTGAGCAGCGTGCCCTCTCAGTCTGTCTTGTCTCCCCTTCCCGGGGCTTTGTGTGCCACGGGTGAAAGGCTTTTAATAGGAACCTACATACTCACATATAGACCCACAGACCTGCATAGGGACCCATATGCTTACCCAGAGACCCACATACTTAGCCAGAGACCCACATACTTACCCAGAGACCCACACACTTACCCAAAGACCCACATACCCAGAGACCCACATACTTACCCAGAGACCCACATACCCAGAGACCCACATACCCAGAGACCCACATACTTACCCAGAGACCCACATACTTAGCCAGAGACCCACATGCTTACCCAGAGACCCACATACCCAGATACCCATATTCTTACCCAGAGACCCACATACCCAGAGACCCACATACCCAGAGACCCACACACTCACCCAGAGACCCAAATACTTACCCAGAGACACACTTACCCAGATACCCACATATCCAGAGACCCACACGCTTATCCAGAGACCCACATACCCACATACTTAGCTAGAGACCCACATGCTTACCCAAAGACCCACATTCTTACCCAGAGACCCACATACTTACCCAGAGACCCACACACTTACCTAGAGACCCACATACCCAGACACCCATATACTTACCCAGAGACCCAGATACCCAGAGACCCACACACTTACCCAGAGACCCACATACTTACCCAGAGACCCACATACTTACCCAGAGACCCACATACTTACCCAGAGACCCAGATACCCAGAAACCCACACACTTACCCAAAGACCCACACACTTACCCAGAGACCCACATACTTAGCCAGAGACCCACATGCTTACCCATTGACCCACATACCCAGAGACCCACATACTTACCCAGAGACCCACACACTCACCCAGAGACCCACATACTCACCCAGAGACCCACATACTCACCCAGAGACCCACATACTCACCCAGAGACCCACATACCCATAGACCCACATACCCAGAGAACCACATACCCAGAGACCTATATACCCAGAGACCCACATAGCCAGAGACCCACATACTTATTCAGAGACCCATACACATACCCAGAGACCCACTTACCCAGAGACCCACACACTTACCCAGAGATCCACTTACCCAGAGACCCACATACCCAGAGACCCACACACTTACCCAGAGACCCACATACTTACCCAGAGACCCACTTACCCAGAGACCCACACACTTACCCAGAGACCCACTTACCCAGAGACCCACATACCCAGAGACCCACACACTTACCCAGAGACCCATATACTTAACCAGAGACCCACTTACCCAGAGACCCACACACTTACCCAGAGACCCACTTACCCAGAGACCCACACGCTTACCCAGAGACCCATAGTATTTACATAGCGCGTGCACGCGGGGGTAACTCGTCATCCCCTGCCGTGCCCTTCTGACGTCGGGCCCTTGCCGCGACTGCGCAGAATAACACAACCAAATAATGAACCCAATTATATTGCGTCGTGTTGTACTTTATTAGGTGCCAGGGAGCAGGCGGTAATTAAGTTCCTCTGCAGCAATGAGCGTGCGGGTCGTGTGAATCGCTTGTCTTTTCAAACCGAAAAGAAAGAAAAAAGATGCGAGTTGCATATTTAACGCGAGTCTCCCGTCCGTGCCTTGTCACGGAGGTGGGGACGAGCGCGCAGGATTAATTTCGCGTGCGGCTAGCGGAGGAGGGAAAAGGAAACCCTCTGGCAGCCAACAACAACAACAAGAACCCCAACAATCCCAGAAACCCTGGAAGGAAATCAAAGAGTGGCCCGCTCGTGCCTTGGCGCAGGACGTTCGCGAGCTCGATGCTACCGTCGAGGTCTGCCAGGCACGGCGAGGCGGCTTCCAGAGAGGAGGAGAGTTCACGTTGCTTTGCTGTCCCATCAAGTCGCTTTCTCGTGACACAAAGACGCATCGCGTGCGCGCCGAGACGCTTGGATACCACTTGCCCCGCCGTGTGTGGGTGTGTGCGTGTGTGTGTGTCTGTGTGTGTGTGTG